GACGTACGTACGGTCCCCTAGCGCCAAATACTATGGGGGCGTACGGTTCCCTAGCGCCACGCGCTATTGGGGCGTACGGTCCCCTAACAATAGCCAATTTTAAATCATAGCGATAGAACATACAACTTACTTGTACTCACCTTATAATACATATTAAAAACCCCCCCCAATTAAATCGTAACGATAAGAGAAGACAACTCACTTATCTCGCTCAGAGGAGCTTTTGCTTCTGGGGTTCCGAGGGTTCCTGCAACTGTTGGGGTTCTCGAAAGTACAGGGTCTGAGCTGTAAGAAGGCCCCCTTAAGGTGATGTCTGTGGCCTTCAGGGGCCCCCTGGTTCCACTTTTGTTCTCAGGAAGCTGAAGAGTGCTCGCTTGAAAAGCCGGTAGATTGAGTGAGACACGGGTAGGAAGAGAGAATGAAAATAGATCTAGCATTGTATTTTTTTTACCGAAAGAATGAATGAAAATAGCATTTTACTTGTTTTTGTTTTTTTTGGACAGAAAGAAAAAACGTAATGTATAGCATTTTGCAGTTGAACATGGCTATTGCGGGACTTTTAGTTCCATAAAAAAACCACATTCCGCAGTATGCAACTTCCTGCTATAGGAATGCAAAAGGGAATTGCCGAAAATTACACACTACACCCGTCAAAATGCAGTTTTTGGGACACCTGAATAGACATAAAAGTCTTGAACATCTAGCTCTCACTGGCAAAATTGAAGGCAAACGAGACAGGAATAGACCCAAAGCAACCAACTTAGAGGACCTAAACAGATGGGAACGGAGAAAAATCAGAGTAACGTAGCTTTTTTAAGAGCATCCGAGAAAGGAATGAATGGAGAACCATGATCGCCGATGTTTGCTGCAGATCTGGCACTTGATGATGATGATAGTCCTTTGCTGCCTTCCTTATTTTTATATTTGCGACTCCCTTGTACCTCTAACCTTCGGCACTTACACTACATAAACTTTGTACCTGTCGTCAAACCTCTCTATCAAACCAAACCAAACCAGCGCCTGTCTGTCTGTCTGTCTGTCTGTCTGTCTGTCTGTCTGTCTGTCTGTCTGTCTGTCTGTCTGTCTGTCTGTCTGTCTGTCTGTCTGTCTGTCTGTCTGTGCATATTATGCGTGCGTGTGTGCGTGTGTGCATGTGTGTGCACGTGTGTGCACGTGTGTGCACGTGTGTGTGTGTGTGTGTGTGTGTGTGTGTGTGTGTGTGTGTGTGTGTGTGTTTGCGTGCATGTGTGTGAGAGCTGACAGGTCCTACTTCAGAATTACAAAGTTCTATCTCCTAGTTATGAAAAATCTGACGTCAAAGATTTTAAGTTTTACATCATGTCAAGCTTTTTCGAATGCAATTATTTGAATATCTTTATTAAAATCTCCGAATAATCTCACGATTTTATTCTAGCAGACTGACCTCATGGTCTTTTAAACTAAAAACAGCCAAAAATGTCAGATTGAACTTTGTAATTCCGAGGCAGAGAGGTACTCACTCAGGCAGAGACTATGACAATATTTTACCTGATCCAGTGTTGTTGGGCTCATCACGAACGTTATCTGTACTATCAGAGATGTCATCAGCAACGTTATCTCCAGGAGGTATGACACCTTTCTCATCCACCCCATAATATGCGTCCTTTTCTTCATCTACACCAGCCTCTGGCACCTGTGACAAATCTCCTCCATTGATGTCAGCAGGGGCAAAGGCTGATTTGTTTGAAAGGGTAATCAAAATGAGTCAAATAAACCAGGCAAAATCTGAGGTCACACACGAAAAACTTTTCCCCAATAGAAACATAATAAAAAACAAAAACAAAAACAAAAACAAAAACAAACTAAACAACTTCTTTCTCGAGGCCGCATCACGGAGTTGTGAATGGAAACAAATCCTGAATTAATGTTATTGTGTGTGTTCAGCGGCCAAAATAATAGAGAAAATATTTCATTAAAAAATTTTATTCCCATATTGGGCAAACCGTGATAAGGACTTTTAAGCACACCGTGGGAGTAATGGTCTCAAGATTTTTCAACAGTTATCTAAATATGTCAATGCATAAACAAAAGGCAAAGAAGCAGATATGACAATACTACTTTTAATTTTACTGTCTTTGTCAAGGCTTGCTTTTCGTCATCAGGAAATACAAATCCTGACCTCATTTTAAAAGCGGTAAAAAGTCGAGGAAAAATAAAACACGCACTCACAGCAGCCATGCAGTTATTAGGGATTAGACCCTCCGTCACCATTCTGAGATACACTCCCCACCAATCCAATTGTTAGCTAAGATAATCGGTGCTTGTTACAGCTTATGAAAGTGGCCCGATAGGGATGAACACAGATTGCTTTGATGCAATGAAACAGCTTTGGGTGTTGGGCATTTGGCTCATATATTACTAGAATTTACAAGGCAACGTTGCCTATGTGTGTATTTGACGGCAACGATGTTCCCATGTAACTGAAGGGAATCAGTGATTATTTGATTATAATATAGACACTTAGTTCCAGGGTGTCAGCCACGCTCTCTGAAATTTTGATACCTGTGACGTCATCCGTGTACGCCCCGCCCCCTGACGGCTCAAGGGGCGGGATTTCGAAGTCATCGTCAGGTGCGCTGGCGTCTGCGATGTTGAAGGGAGTGGGACCAGTTCTGATGTATTGGTTTGGACTGGGCGGTGTCTCGTTGTCTGTAGCCCCTCCCACGGAATTTGGAATGGAAGGCAGCTGGACTAGTGCTGTGTCATTGGTAGCGATACATTTCCTACTGCAGCCTCTGAAAAAAGGTGAAATGGTATAGTTTTAACGTCCCTATCAACATCATCATCATCATCATCATTGCCTTTCTCACCAGAGTATAGGTTACGAAAGAACATTTTCCCCATTTCCCTATCCTGGGCTAGCCTCTTGATGTTTTCCCATGTCTTCCCATTTTCTGTACATCAATCTCTGTCATTCTTCTCCAGGTTCCATATGGTCTTCCCCTTTATCTTTTACCCTGTGGATTCAAATCCAACATTTTCTTTGTTATGCAGCTGCCTGACTTCCCGAGAGTATATCCAATCCATCGCCACCACCTTCTTCTTACCTCATCTCTGACTGGGATCTGTCTTGCTTTCCTTAACACTATCTCGTTGGTGACTCTGTCTGTCTGATCCTCAGTAATTTTCTTAGACACTTGTTAAAAAAACAACAGGATCCTCTTTATGCAAGTCCGAGATGCATTCCTCGTCTTACATCCATACAACTGGACTAACTATCCATTGAATTGAAGATGATCAGCTTTGTTCGAAGTGAGATATCCCTTTAGCCCCTATCAACACTATTAGGCTATATAAGAGGAGGGATTTTCGAGTTTAAGGTCCATCTCCGAAAGGACCGAGCCAAATGGGAAATTCATGTAAAGTGCCTTTTTCCACAGACACAACGTCGGACCGAGCTGAGGTTTCGAACCTCCGAACCTGCAATCTCACGATTACGAGCCAGGTAGCCTAAACACTAGGCGGGAGCTCTCGTGGCCTAGAGGTTGAGGTGCTCACCTCTCATTCAATAGGTCTTGGGGTCCGGGATTCGATCCGGATAGCGATGGAAATTTTTCTTGTCTTAAATTGTCTCTTTTCACTTCCTTTCCTGCTCTCTAACAATGTTCTGTCGTCTGCTTTAGCCTCACATTTCTGCCCCCACACCCCCCACCTCCTTTGCCCTCCCCACTAGGCTCCTGACTTTTACTGCAGCCTTTCTACTGCTATTTGATAGCTCCTTCTTATGGCTGTCTTTGAGCCACGCCCCTGATCTTAAGGTAGGAAAGATCTACGCCTAGCCTTCTCGGACAAGGGCGAAAAATCACGGAGGTCCCGTGTGCACGTTGTACTCGTTAAAGATCCCTTGGTGGTCCAAAATCAATAAGAGTGGGCTTCGGATGCCACCCGGGCACAATACAGAATTTCTTACCCATACCAACTGAAAATGTTTAATATGTCCCGCGCGTTCATATGACCTTATGCAGTTGCGAGCTTCGTAAAGCACTTAGATCCCCCCCCCCCATCCCCGAAAAAAAACCAAACAAAAAACCAACTAGGCTACCGACGCCATGCAGCTTCTGGAAGAAAATAAGACAGAAATAAAACGAAGAAAAGAAAACAAACACACTTTGGTTTTGTTTTTATCCTAAAGGAAACTTTTAGCTACAAGGGCGCGTACACTACATACACAGATACATTCAAAAGTGACTTCAGTAATACCACTGGACAGAAAATCAAAATGCAGGCAAAACAAAATATAGCAGTGGGGGGGGGGGGGGGGGGGGGGGGGGGTAAGGTTTCTGCCCTTTTTGTAAGCCTGCTATAGAGCATATCAGGGATAATAAATTATGATAATAATAAATAGCATTTGTATAGCGCATTATATTCAAGTTCGACAGAAAAGCCCTATGCACTTTACAAACTATTATTATCCCAGCAGACCATAGAACATTCAGAAACATTCTCAGCTCCCAGGGAAGCATACAGTGTAAGCTGCCATTTACAGGGTCTAAAGGATGAGATCATGCTTCATTGTCCCAGAGGGAAATTTTTCTAGGCTGTAAACAGGATAGTAAAAACACATACGGGTATACATACAAATTAAAATAATATATTACTCTCATTAAGATTCAATAGGAAAAGAAAAGTAAAGCTGACATAATGTTCATATCATCACATCAGATACGTCTTTCAACCACATGCAGGAATTTAATTACAAGACATTTAGAGTTAAATAGATATATACTCGAAAAAGAAATACACATTGTCATTGATGTTTAAGCTTATACTAGATGGTAGAAAGACGGATGTACATGTACTAGTTAACAATAATAATATATTTTTAAAAAATTCTCTCCCCTGTGATCCTCTACGGCTGAGAAATTTAGAAGACTACAAAGATAGTACTGAATGACTGAATAAAGTCAATAATTTCATCAACAGATGCACGATGTGTATCCTCAGAATTAAGTGGCAGGATAGAATAAGAAATGAAGAGCTGAGGAAAAGAACAGGACAAAAGGATATGGAAGTAGAAATAGGACTAAGAAAGTGGCGATGGACAGGACACACCCTCAGAAATACGGGAGAAACATGACAAGACAGTCGCTGCAGTAAAACCCACATGGAGCACGAGGCAGAGGTAGGCCACGGGGAACATGGATGAGATGTGTGGAAAGGAACAGGGGGAGATGAAGCTCACTTGGAACGAGCTTGGAAGGATGGCCCAGGACTGATATAAATGGAAGGAGCTTGTTTGTGGCCGATACCCTGCCAGGGGTGAAAGGCATTGATGATGATGATAGTGATGATGATGATGATGATGATGATGATGGTGATGATGATGATGATTGTGGTGATGATGATGGTGATGATGATGATGATAATGATGATGATCATGATGATGATGATGGTGATGATGATGATGATGATGATGATGATGATCATGATGATGATAATGATGATTCTCCCGCATGAGGCTTACCTGGAACAGCACAGCTCGTGATTCAGACAGTGATCGTGGACGAGACATTCATCCATGCAGAGTTCTATGTGACCGTGTGACCCTTGACTTTTGCCTAGTGAGGAGCAGCCTGTGGGCTCTGAGGAGGGCGGGAAGGGTGAGTGGATGTGTGTGTGTGGGTGCGTGTGTGTGTTTTTGTGTTTGTATGTGTGTACACTTGTGTTTGTTTGTTGGTTTGTGTGTGTATGTGTGTGTATGTGTATGTAAGTGCGTACACTTGTGTGGGTTTGTTTGTTGGTTTGTGTGTGTACGTGTGTGTATGTGTGTACACCTGTCCGTGTTTGTTTGTTGGTTTGAGTGTGTATATGTTAAATCTTTGTGTCTATGTGTATTTAGACTTGCTGTCAACTGTGAAGCGAAGAAAACCGAAATGGTATGGCCATGTAACAAGATCGTTTGGCCAATCCATGACCATTTTTCAGGGAACTGTGCAGGGGAGGAGAAGGAGAGGAAGGCAAAGGAAGAGGTTGATCGAAAACATTTCAGAGTAAACAGGGCAATCCTAGTGGAGGCACCTGACGAGGCTCTCTGTCAAACAACGCCCTTACGATTCTCCTTGTTTATGGGAGCAGTGACAATGACAGCGACAGTGTGTATGTGTGTATGAGTGTATGTGTGTATGTGTGTATGTGTGTATGTGTGTATGTGTGTATGTGTGTATGCGTGTTTGTGTGTATGTGTGTATGTGTGTATGTGTGTAGGTGTGTTTATGTGTGTGTATATGTGCATATTATGTGTGTGTATGTGTATATGAGTGTATGTTTGTGTGTTTGTGTTTGTGTTTGTGTGTATGTGTGTGTGTATGTGTGTGTATGAGTGTATGTATGTATGTGTGTGTGTGTGTGTGTGTGTGTGTGTGTGTGTGTGTGTGTGTGAGTAAGTGTGAGTATGTGTGTTTGCGCACAATATTTTAAAGCTCACACTGGCTCTTCACTTTGCGAGCAGAGGACACGAGTTCGACTCCCACAAGGGCAACACATTCTATCAGGCAACTCTGTCTTTCTGCTGTAATACAATTATTATAACATGTTTTGCCCCTCACCCCTCCCCCCCCCCGACACAATGTGGATCATTAAGGAGGCGGGCTGTTCCGACACTGTCTGTCAGGGCTAAGCCATGCTGAGAGGCGTACAATGTCCCAGAGAACGAACGAAGATTCTACATTAACCTCTTCACTTCTGTGCAGACGTAAGCACTTGTTTGTGTTCTTCCAAGCTGGTTCACTGACATTTTTTTTCTCTTCTGGTTTATTGAGGTTATTCTAGAAAATGTTCTTGTAACGTATGCAGTTTCTTATTCTTAACAAGGAGAATTTTGCGTGGCTTTGTTTAAATCCCTCTTGAATGAAAATTCATTTATGTTTCTGCACTGAAAGGGTTAAAACGAATATTTTTTTAAAGAAAAAAAAACCCAAACAAAAACCCCAATCCAAACAGAAACAAAAACAAAACACTTCGACACGAAAATGGAGCTCAACTGCTTTTCATGCGACAGCGAAGCACCTAACGCTACACTACAGACACCATGCTGCGATTTAGTATCCTTAACAACTTTTTGTCCAAGCTGATACATATAGTGTAGAAGCAACCTGCTTCCTGACTCATCTAGTAGTGTTAAAAATTGGGGCATAAAACATTTCGCTATCTCAGAATTATAACGTTCTGATTGGCACTTTTGGACCTTTTTGAGTTACTAAGACCATGTGGTAAGAAATCGAATGCTCTATCTGCTCTAGCAAAATCGTAAGACTATTCTAAGTCGTTATCAAGATACTCAAAAAAATTGTATTCGAAAAAGCTTGAAATATTGTGAAACTCAACATTTATTTTTGACGTTCATACCATTTTGCAGCTCCGGCAGACAACAAACTCCAGCCCCACACTCGAATCCCATTGGACAATCTTTGTCACCGGTGCACAGGAAGTCGTCTCCGCGCAAACTCAGTACTGGGTGACCCCGAGGACAAGGGTTTGACACTTGGAACTTTGGGTCTGAGGTGAAAGAATAAAGGGAAGTCGGTATAAGCAGGTCTTCTTCTTTTTCTTTTTTTATCCTTCCCGTTGTACTCTAGGGCCCCGAAAGGATAAGTAATTCATGGGAATAAAATG